TGTGACACAGTTCTGCATGCTGGATCAACTTGTAATCCTGACAAGGCTACAGCTGTAATTATTTTATATAACTATTAATTATATTTATTACACATTAATTATATATCAAAACAATTGCTTAATACACAAAGGGCTGTGTGACGAAGTGCCCTTCGCCACTTGTGCCTGGAGAGGACTGCTTGCCCACCTCTTGCCCTGTGACTATGGCCCCTGGGATGTATTGCCCTTTAAAGACATGATTTGGGCATAATGGATTTGTGTTGTGCTGCTGCTGGCCCTTTAAGAACCATCTGGGGACATACTGTGGAGTTACTGGGTGGCCACCATTTCCTGTATCAGAAGCACATGGTAAGAACAATGGATGGTGGCCATTTTAACTCACAGACACTGTTTGGACTTTTCAACACGGTGCCATCTCGCCAGTATTTGGTGCACAGAGACATCGTGCAGTGGTTTTGGACTATACAGCAGGGGACACATTATAAAGTGATTGTTTTTCATTTAGCCTGTATATGTTCTGCAGAATCTGCATTAAACTGTATTTTCCAAAGTACTGAACGGATCTGGGTGAATTTTGGATATGTGGTTCACCCAGATCCCCCGGTTCCAAGGATATACTTTTATGGGGTTATTGCATGTTTTGGGGTCCCTGTGTGTTTTATGAAACTGTATTATTTCTGGCCAGCAGATAATTGAGCTTTGTGTATTGTAGAAACTCAATTATCTAGCCTGGCCAAGAGGAGGAGTTTTGTGTTGCATAAATTGTGAGTTCTGTGTGCCAGTAAATCAGTCTTGTTCCAGCATTAAGCCTTGGCTCATGTTTGGGGGAAGGGATACCTACACTCTGGGATTGCTATAATCACTTACTCCCCAGAGGAAGCTCTTGCAATAGCTTGATTTGTTCCTGTTCCTGCTCTCTGGGGAAAGAGAGGTTCACCCACTGGAAGCTGGATCCTGGCCTTGGGTCCAGGGTGGGTGGAAACAGCAGAGACCCCGGCACAGTTACATCGCTGGAAGTGGGGTCTGCAGTGCTGATGGTGTCGGTTGGAGTGCTTGGAGTCCTCAGCGAGCACTAGGAGCATCGATTGGCGGAGGTACTCAGTCGGAGTGCCAGCGTTCCGTCACAGGCTGGTTTAGCATTCACATAGGTAGAAAATTAGCATACTATATAATATGCATATCTATGGGTAAGAATGCATAGGTCACCCCTATGCAATCTGCAGGCTCTGAGCTCAGTAAGACTGGATCATCACTGTCCAAAACTACCTATAATTAGTGAGCATCATATTTCCAAGAGGTACCTGTCACCAGTTTAATGCTGAAATAGGCACTGCCTGGGAATGTAATTCTCAATAATTCTCAATGGTCTGCCATTTAGGAATTAAATCACTTTTGTTTCTGTCCATGCAGCCCTAGCCACACCTCCCCTGACCGTGACTGACACAGCCTGCATGAAACCAAAATTATTTCACTTTCAGTCAGATTTAGCTTTCTTTAAAAACATTTTATCTCCTGCTCTCTAAATTGAACTTTAACCCCTTAAGGACGGAGCCAAATGTACACATTGTGAACAAAACAAAATGTAAACAAAACCTGGCATTTGCGCTACATGTCTGTCCAACCGTAATTCACCTCTTTCATAGTAAATGCACCCACCCTTATTATATATCATTTTATTCAGGGGAAACAGGGCTTTCATTTAATATCAAATATTTAGCTATGAAACATAATTTAATATGAAAAAAATGGGAGAAAATACGATTTTTTGATTTTTTTAGTTCTAAATTGCATTTTAAAGGTCAGTGTCATAATACTGTTTGATTTTACTGCAATAAAATACACATATTTGTATTTAGTAAAGTCTCACGTGTAAGACAGTACCCCCTATGTACAGGTTTTATGGCGTTTTGGGAAGTTACAGGGTCAAATATAGCACGTTACATTTGAAATTGAAATTCGCCAGATTGGTTACGTTGCCTTTGAGACTGTATAGTAGCCCAGGAATGAAATTTACACCCATAATGGCACACCATTTGCAATAGTAGACAACCCAAGGTATTGCAAATGGGGTATGTCCAGTCTTTTTTAGTAGCCATTTGGTCACAAACACTGGCCAAAGTTAGCGTTAGTATTTGTTTGTGTGTGAAAAATGCAAAAAACGCCAATTTTGGCCAGTGTTTGTGACTAAGTGGCTACTAAAAAAGACTGGACATACCCTGTTTGCAATACCTTGGGTTGTCTACTATTGCAAATGGTATGCCATCATAGGGGTAATTTTCATTCTTGGGCTACCATAGGGTCTCAAAGGCAACGTAACCAATCTGGCTAATTTTAATGTGAAAAAAATGAAACACAAGCCTTATATTTGACGCTGTAACTTTTGAAAACACCATAAAACCTGTACATGAGGGGTACTGTTGTACTTGGGAGACTTCGCTGAACACAAATATTTGTGTTTCAAAACAGTAAAAAGTATCGCAGCAATAATATTGTCCGTGTAAGTGCTGTTTGTGCGTGAAAAATGCAAAAAACTTCACTTTTACTGGCGATATCATCGTTGTAATACATTTTACTGTTTTGAAACACTAATATTTGTGTTCAGCGAAGTCTCCCGAGTAGAACAGTACCCCCCATGTACAGGTTTTATGGTGTCTTGGAAAGTTATAGGGTTAAATATAGTGCTAGCAAATTAAATTCCCTTTACTTTCGGCATGGGTTGTCAGGCAGGTCCTGCTAATTGTAATTAATTAAGATACCTAATTATGTAAAAATATTACATAAATATATATGTAGAATTAATATATGTATATATATACGTATGTGTATATATATGTATATATCTATATAATTTTTTTAAAATATTTTTATTTATATATAGGTATATATATAGTGATATATACGTATATATTTATGTATATAGATTTATATATTATTTCGTTCTACGTGTATTTTGATATATATATATATATATATTAATTTCACAAAACAGTTAGAACGAAATAACACACATCTATATATTTTTTAATTATTTATTTTTAATTATTTTTTTAATTTTATTTTTTAACGTATTTACATTTTTATTTTTTTTATATTATATATAAATATATATATAACAATAATTATATATATATTTAATCAGTATCAGTCTACGTGTAATTTGATATTAATATATATATATAATTATATATATATTAATAGTAAAATACACCTAGACGTGTACGTGTGTGTATGTATATGTGTATATATATACTTAGATCATATATATATAATATATATATATGATCTAAGTATATATAATTATTTTTTTTTACACCATTAACTTATTTTTATTTTATTTTCAGCCAGCAGGGGGACCACCTGTCATTACAGGCAGCCCCACTGCCGGCAATACAGAAGCCAGCTATCCCCGGCCATGTGATTGTGGGGTCCTCGCTAGGTATATAATTTGCAAAAAAGAAGTGTAAGCATGAGGTGGCTCTTTACAGGAAATGTTTAGGAAGGCTTTGCAAGTCACATGCAGAGAGGTGTGACTATGGAGCGTAAACAGAGTGATTAAACTCCTAAATTGCAGAGAATTGAACAGTGAGACTGCATGGACATATTTCTATACACCAAAACTGCTTCATTAAGGTGAAGTTGTTTTGGTGACTATAGTGTCCCTTTAACACATTTCATTGTACCTACTAAGCATATAAAGAGCAAATTTTATATATTACCATTATAAACTCGATACTACTTCTTGAAAGTAGTAAGCCAAATAATTGTGGAAAGTAAAATAACTTGAGAGTCAACAAGCAGCTATTTAAACTGCTACTTGAATTTTTTTTAAAAAGTCTTAATGATGGGATCTAAATTTTTCAATTCAGTTATGATTTATACAACTAATCAAAAGAATAAGATACCCAAGAGTTTACTTCTTGGAATCTATACACCAGTTTAGACACTCCAGTAGTGCCCAAAGGGCTTAACCATAATAATAATAACACAGGAAAGATTCACCTAACCCACAATAAAGTAGATGAGGTAAAAACTGGAAAAATGTAATCAGTATCCTGAGGTAAATGGGATTAAAGTCCACTCTGCATGCACCAATACATACACAAACCACATATATCCCCAGTGCAAGTAAAATATACTAGCCGTGTAAGGCTATTCCTCTACCTAGTATAGATAATGGATAACCATTGGATAATCCAGATAGGTGCTTAAAATATTAATATACAAGCTTTATTAATAAGGCTTATTTGTAGCATTTTTGATAACCTTTTGTAGGTAAGTAGTGCACTGGAAAATAAAAGGTAGACATGGGGTTAAACCATAGTATTAGTGTAAAAAAACAGGGACTAACTAGAGGTTAAATTATAGTTCTGTCCAAATAAAGCAGCAAACTAATAGTACCTTCATTAGCCCTTGGAAGGTAATTAGTGCACTGTAAAAGTATATCAGTGTACCCAGGTAGAGAAGGGTTTAAACCATGGTCTAAGTGTTAAGTAACAGAGATTGACTAAAGGTTAGACCATAGTACTATCCAAGTGAAGCATGAATAAACATAGATTGGATAATAGAGTACTATAGTATATTCAGCTGCAACCTAAAATATCCGCCCAACCCCCCCAAAAAAAAAGTGCAATGTGAAGGAAAGTGATATAGGAAATGGGTCGAGCATAATACAGTAAAGTGTAGTAAAGCCTCTCTCCCTGTTAAACTGACTGGATAGGTAGAGGAATAAAAGAATAAAGGGGTGAAAAATACAATAAAAAAATTAGTGAGAATGAGGCATGTCTATAAATCAGACATCCTACAGTGCATAAGTGATAAGTGCCCTAAACACACTCAAAACAAAACGCCCGACGCACGTTTCGGTGCAGTACAATGTGCACCTTTGTCAGCTGCACATTGCTGAAGGTGCACATTGTACTGCACCAAAACGCGGTTTTGAAAAACATATAGTTCGACATTACAAAACTCGGGACTTCGGGTTAGTGGTTGGGGTAGAGGTAGGGTTAGGGTTAGGTTTAGGGGTAGGGATAAGGGTTGGGGTAGGGTTTGGGGTAGTGTAAGGGGTAGGTTAGGAGTAGGGTTAGGAATAGAGTTAAGGTTACCCTGCCCCTACCCCTACCCCAACCACTAACCCTACCCCTAATCTTAACCCCTTACCCTACTCTAACCACTAACCCTACCCCAACTGCTAACCCTATCCCTAAACCTAACCTTACTCTAACCCTACTCCTACCCAACCACTAACCCTACCTTAACCCAACCTCTAACCCTACCCCTAACCCTATCTCTACCCCAACCACTAACCCTACCTTAACCCTAACCCTACCCTGCGCTCCTAACCATACCCCAAACCCTAACCCCAACCCTCTCCTGTTTTGCCACTTCAAATTCGTCACTTCGGTAATTCCTAAATTAGGCACTTCAGACTTTCGAAAGCATTTACATTCAGAATGATACGAATTTCACTTGTCTACCTCTTTCTGACAATAATATAGCAGGAATGTGGAACTGCACTCAAACCTATTTGAAATGTATCCGGGTTCACCAGACCAGTACCAGGAACCAAATATTGAATGAGGAAATATAGAAGAGAAATCCAGGCACTCTCAGGATACAAAAAGGCAAATTTAGTGGGTTCAATAAATTTGCCTTTTTGTATCCTGAGAGTGCCTGGACCTCTCTTCTATTTTACCTCTTTCTGACAGGCAGATATTGATATGTTTCCTGTATCTACAGGTAAGTAGTTCACTAGGCAAGATGAAGCAGTGTGAATCGTCTTTAATAAATACATCCAGAAAATAGTAGGATTCTCAGTGTAATTCTCCCCCTATTTAATAGCATGGTGTGACTGTTCTCATTCAATAGTATCTGCTTGTTCCAGTACGATCTGCCTTTGTCAAGGTTCTGATTTGATGATGCCATCCATTTGTTTTTAAATTTATATCAGCAAAAGACATTACCTTTTATTGTTGACATAATTGATCTATAATTTCTAGACCGAGGTTCTCTAATTTTTTTTTTTATCCATTACAAGATGGGTTCCTTATTTCTTACGAGAGTTTATCTTGTATTAGTCTAGTTGTGTTCCTTCTCTAGGTTTGGCTATCATGGCCTTTATTCCTATCTGGCTCTATATATCTTTAGGATATTTCAGACATTTGAATGTCAAGGGGTTGCTGACCTAGCAGCCTCTAGGGTAAAGTAACTTGTCTGAACAGATTTAATGACAATATCCTATTGATTACTTGTTTGGCTTTTTTAAAGTCTTCTAAGTTTTATTCAGCTCAATCATGGTGTTTATAACTATTAGCTGTTTTTGAACTCTGACTTTCCTTCTATATATACTTCTTGGGTACTCCCCATGAGTAAATGCTGCCATGATTGATCAGGAATAAGAAAAGTTGTTTTATACTTACCATAATTTATAAAGTTATTTTATACTTACCCATATACTATTGGTTGTGAAGCAAGTTACAAAGACTGCCTGATAGGAAGGTGGAGGATCTATTTATACCTATTTCAGTTCTATTTCTTATCCTTTCTGCTGTGATGGGAGGAGCAAACCCATGAGTAAATGCTGCCATGAATAATGATCAGAAAAAGTATGAAACAATTTTCCCTAATTTTACAACATGACAGGAGGCTTCATATTTTGCATAATCTCTCTTTACTAGCTCCACAGCAGCAAAGAAACACGTAGAAAAAAAGAACCAATCACAAGAGAGTAGGATGTACATGAGACATAGTGACCTAATCATTTCCTCTTTCTTTGCTGCTCCATCAAGCTGACAGGTCAGAGTATTACTCTTCTCCGTTATTGTATTTCTATTGCGTCTTTGGGACTGTTTTTGAGATTGTATTTTTATAGGCTTTGCTATTTGTTTTGCTGTGCTTCTATTCTATAGGAATCTGTTTTTTTTTTTGTCTATATTGTTTTTACAATATATTTAAAGTATAAAAGCGCTAAGCCTATAATTCTGTATACACAGATGAGGTGGCAGAAAAAAATGTGAAAAGTTTCTGTATCACCTTCAAAATGTTAAACACCTCTGTTACAGGGTTAAATTCCAAAAAGCTGCTACACACCTGTGTGAACCCAACTCCCACACCAAAAATCAAACAAAATACTTATATAGGTGGAGCGCAAAATCAGATCCACATTTCCATGGAATCCTTTACACAGCTTCAACTCAGATGGATATAAAAGAGATAAAATGCATATAATAGTGAAGTACAGTTATAGTAAGTTGCAAATATTTAATAATCGTTTCACTAGACATAAAACACTCCTAGCAATAAAAGTAATAAATCAAAATCAAAATCAATATTGAATAAAATTACATAAATTAAATGAAATAAACAATGAGCCTCTTACAGGATAAAAATAAGTGAGTGTATGCAGTCCCAGCTGCTACTCACTAACGCTTTATAGTTGCCTTAGTCCAGGCACAGGGTTGACAGGTAGCCGGCTTCTCTCTTGTCTCCTCCACGGATGTCGTAGAGAAAGCGGGCCGCTGAAAAATCCTGGATGCCGGTCTGGGGTTCTCTGAGCTTCCCGGGTGCTCCGCCCCTTTTGCGTCACTCCGTAAAAGGCGTGCGTCACTGCGTCGTCTACGCGTTTCGCCGAAGCTTCCTCAGGACACAGAGCAGTGATGCTGACTTGTCTTACTCGTCCACTATTTAAAGCGATCCTTCCGCTTCCTATTGGATCCCTAATCATAGTGTCTTTTATACAGGTGTATTAAAACCATACATCCTCTACTTAACTCCATAATTACCTATACTAAATAGACATATTAATGCAGATATCATAGGGACATTTAAACATTTAAACATATAATTGACAAACATTTCTCAATTTTATTCTACCATACCTGGTTTTAAGAGAAGAGAGAAAATTGGTAACAGGGAGTTAATACAAATATAAATACAACTTTTCATCAAACTTTTAAACTTTTCTATGTCAATTTTAACTTTTAACCATTTTTAAATGTTTTTAAATAAGTATTACCTTCCCCAAATGGGTGCCCTTATTTAAAGTGCCCCAAAACCAATTTAAAGTGCTATATTCAAAATTCGGAACCATTTGCTACAAAGTGCAGATCATATATATAATTGTAAATTATTCATACAATCATCTAAAATATATCTAAATATATATCTAAAAATGTATCTAAAAATATATAATAATATAAAAAAAAAAAATATATATATATTATAAGAAATGGCACAACTCAAAATCATTATTAAGGCCAAATGGAATGAGAGTATTGAGTTCAAAAATCCATCTCATTTCCATTTGGCCCAATTTTTTCGTACGGTCTTCACCTCTCCAATTAAAAAGTGCTTTCTGTATTCCAACAAATGATAGGCCAGATGGATCACTATTGTGATGTTCTTTAAAGTGTAAGGATACCTGATGCAGTGCAAAACCCTTACGGATATTGTATACATGCTCTCCTACTCTAGTATGTAGCTGGCATGTAGTGCGAACTATGTAGCTTAGTCCGCAGGGACAGATAAGCATATAGATTACATTACTAGTGTGGCAGGTTATACATTCCTTTATCTTGTAGGTTTTAGTTGGTGACATAAATTGATCTCTAAAATTTCTATGTGAGCCTGTGGCTTTACACGCATTGCATGTCCCACAATTATAAAAGCCTTTCTTTAACCCTACGTATTTTTCTAACGACCCTAAGGTTTTATTGTCGTTTTTGTCCTGTTTAAACGTCAGAATACTTTTAATATTTGGAACTCCTCTATGGACAATTTTTGGTTGAGTAGGTAAAAGATTATGTAGTGCCGGATCTTTCAATAAAAAATGCCAATTCTTATTAATGATGCTCCTCAATCTGCCATTATGCCTACCTGCAAATTGGCAGATAAAGGGTACCTCCTCTGTATTTTTCTTATTCTTTTTTGGACCGTTATATTCCAAAAGAGACTCCCTGTCTATCTGTTGTACCTCTTCTAGTGTCTTATTTAAATCTTTACCTTCATAGCCTCTGGCTTTGAAATCTTCTATTATTTTCTGGCCCTGGTCCAAGAATGTCTCTTTGTCCGTACAATTCCTTCGAATACGGATCAGTTGACTTTTTGGTACATTCTTGAGCCAGGGACTGTAATGACAACTCGACAACTCTATATAGCTGTTCACATCGACAGCTTTAAAGAAAGTCTTAGTTTTAATCATCTCATCCTCCATAAAAATCGAAAGATCAAGGAAATCTACTTTAGATCTACTGTAATTAAAAACTAGGGATACTCCCCAATCATTCGAATTGACTTCTTTAATAAATACTTCTAAAAGTTCTTCATCTCCTTTCCATATAAAAAACAGATCATCTATATAACGCTTATACAACACCAGGTTCTTCCCCCAGCTACCGCTCATGTCCACAAATTGATTTTCCCATAATGCCATAAATAGATTTTTAGATATATATTTAGATATATTTTAGATGATTGTATGAATAATTTACAATTATATATATGATCTGCACTTTGTAGCAAATGGTTCCGAATTTTGAATATAGCACTTTAAATTGGTTTTGGGGCACTTTAAATATGGGCACCCCTTTGGGGAAGGTAATACTTATTTAAAAACATTTAAA